ATTCTTAAAAATCGATCAGAAAATGTTGATTCTTGATTTATTTCAAATAATTTGTCAAATTAAATGAAGATTTTTTTCAATTTCAATGAAGGGTACTTCAGAGCATCTTGAAGAGTTACGTTTGCATTTTTTGTATTTTATAGTGAAAATTTCGTTTAAAATTCCGTTATTTTAAGCTTTACTCGTTGCTTTGTTTTTTTTTTGTTTTTTATAAAATGCCCCATCAGTGGTTTAGTGGATAAAACCACTGAACAATGGTTGCAGGTTTGAACCTAACCAACGGGCTGGACTCATGGAGATTTTTAGGTTTCCTTCACGTTGGTGATGTTGGACACGTGAAGAAAACCTGGAAGGGCCCAGTTTCCAATAAAAAATCCACATAGAAAGTATACCCTCTTGGCAGATCCTCCTTATACAACCAATCCAATTAATCCCTCAACGTGTTAAAGATCTCATTTTGTAGACCATATTTGCACACCAGTTTAGGGCCTCGCATTAAGGGTCTATCTACAGTTCAGGGCATCGTATTTTTACATGTATTTGATAGGAGCCTTTTTATTTCTTAGGGTCAAAACAATTCTGAGTATACTTTCATATACAGTATACCATTTATCTTTATATTTTAATTTTAATTTTTTATTAATTTCTGCGCAAAGTAATTTTTATACTGTAATTAGATACAGTAAATAATTAAATGTATTAAATTTTAATTTTAATTAAAGCTTATCTTGCAATATTTTATATAGTTACATTAATATCTTAATTATAACATTTAAAATGTAATAATATTTAATTTAAAATTAAAATATTAAAATTAAATTGTTAACTAAATAAAAAATAGAAATAACTTTATTAAATTTTAAAAATTCAGCATTTTTCGCTATAACTTGCACGAAATCTATACCGCAATTACAGTTGAATTTTGACTTGTTGCAGCTCTTAAAATATAACATATAAGAAGCCCTTTCCTTATATCAGATAATTATAAACGTTAGGCCCTTCCTAGAAACTTTTAGTGCGCGATCCGTCCCGGATATATAGGCCCGTCCCTCATTATACGGCCTCTCCCGTTGTGGGCCTACACCAGGACCAGATTTACAAATACACTGCTGCTTAGAATGGCGCTTTATGTGTCTATAGTTAGGGCCTTACATTTTAAAATACGACATTATTTAGCGGAGAGAAAAGGCCTTTTATGTTACATGCAATGCTGGACACAAGTCTGTATAGTAATGGTCTGCACCCGTCAGTGACCGTACTGTATCCTCTTTGCAGCGATGATAATTAAATTAATTTTTTAAAATATAAATTAACTGAGATATTAAAATATTCTCTGAACGTGTTTAAGGCAAGGCCCATAGACAGTAGGTTTTATCGGATTCCATACTCGTTTGAAGAAAATCCTTTCCTTCTCCTCCTTTCCAACTTGATTTATTGTTCTGTGTGAGCAAAGGCGATTAAAGCAAGAAATGTATGAGCTGACAACATTAAAACTTTTATAAGTCTCCTATTTCTCTTGTAATTCGGTATTCTAGTAAAAATGTTATTCTAAAATACAACTGGGCACTATTAAATTAACAAGAAGATGCCATTTACAAAGATTTTGTCATCCCTGCGAACATTCTGGTGTTGAAAAATCCATCTTAAACCGAACTTGGATTGGTTTACCAGTAATCAAGTAGATAGAAATCATTGAACGGGTCATGGGTTCGCGTTTTTTCTTGGTTTTTTACGCATTTAACAGTTAAATAGGACCCAGTTTCAAATAGAGAGTGCCCACTGGTAGCTGAGTGATAAAACCACTATCGGTCGTGGGTTCGGGCCTCGCTAGTGGAGTTTTCCGTGTTTACTTCACATTTGTAACACCCAAATAAAATCAGTTTTCTATAGAAAGTCCTGGGAAGGCATCCACCCTCGGAAAATCTCTCACGCCGTATACAAATAAAATAAAATGGCGCTTTATCGAGGTTTGATGTATATGCATGTTTGTACAAGTACTTAAATATCCGTATGCAGAGCCTGAAAGAGATGAGATAGCATCCGAGGTAATCACAAATGTAGAGACTTACAAATGTTGTCATCCGTCCTTTATTTGCTAAAGACAGTCCTTATTTCAGTTGGAGTGTCCTTCCATTATTATTTAGTGATAAAATATCCTACCTAACAGCAAAATGAATAAAGAAAAGTTACCTAGTGTCAACCATATCACAGAGAAGCTTATGAAAAGAGCTTTTTTAGTATAGAGATTTTATAACAGGAGGATTTTCTAGGTTAATCAGCCTTGTTTAAATTGTTACACAAATGATGAAAACCCGTAAAACCCCTCACAGCCAACCAGTTGATGAGGTGCGAACACACAACTAACTATTAGTATTCGGCGGTGTTATCCACTCGAGCGCTTGGTAAACTGAATTTTGAATCGACTTGCTTACCTCATCTCTTCGTTATAATACTTAATGACCTGAAGACAACAATTACAGATTGTCTTAATTACTCCAATTATCAGTATAGAGGATGATGTCCAGAAAAAAGGGGGAGAGAGGAGGGAAAAACCTCTAAGTAGACCGTGTTTAGAGGTTTAATATCCACTTTATACAAGGTATTACTGTGCAGAAATCTTCAATAAACGTTATATTGAAGCAGATTAATTTATTAAAATGTATTTTACCGTATTTTATCTTCTTCATTATAACAATGAAATCAATAACAGTGAAATTTTATATACCCTCCTTTCATGTTTAAGCAACAAGTTAAATATAGAAAAGTCGATAAGAGGAAATGAATGACATAATAATATAATATTACGGATAAAATAATCTAAGTAAACATTCAATTTCATTTATAAATCAATCAAGATAAAGATCTGGATGTTGAGAACAAAAGGAAAGTGATGTGTTTATTTAAATTATTTTGCCAATTCTTTACATCCTCTTCCTGCTTTTATCAGACTAAAGATTTATCAGAAATGTAAATTTTCCTAATAAAGACTAAACAAACTTTCTCATTGATCAAACAATTTAATTTTAATGGAACTGTATTTATATAATTTACTATAAACAGAAGAATGTCCTTACACTGTACACATCACACTGTATCTGAATAGGAGATGACTTGAAAGGTTAAAATGCTTTCATGTAAGATTTTATACATCATAAATATAGTTGTGTATAGCTTCTACCACATAATTACTCTATTTTTCATAAGTTAAAACAATAAAATATGCTGTTTTTTAAGAGATTTTTGTGATTTTTGAGACCTACCTACAACCTACGAGTGAATGAAACTGTTAGTCGTGGGTTCGAGACTCATTAAAGGGCTGGTCGTGAGGAGTTTTACGCGTTTTTTTCACGTGTTTAACACTTGCTTCTTCAATCTACACCTTTGCACTTGACCCTCATTCTGTATCTTTACATCATCTTTGTACTTGTACCTTTACATTATCTATGCACCCCTCTGTACCTCTTCACCATCTACTTGTACCTTTATTCTGCTTCAGACACCGGTAAAAAAAATCATATCATGCTATGAAATATGACACCTTTTTAATGAATAATTCACCTTTTCTGATAGAGTTTAATGTAAAAATGTTTTTGTATTCTTAACATTGTTCTATACCTTGTAAATTTCTTTATCTTTCAAACAATTTATAAAAAATCGGGTTTTAATTTTATATTAAGATGCCACAGATACAGTACATAATATGTTCTATTAAATTTAATAAAAATTAGATTAGTGGCATGGCACTAATGTCCATGGGTCAATTATGTTCATTAGCGGAGGGTCTGATCCGCAATGGGGTCAGGTATCCTTCAATCCACTTTAACCGATTCTATATACCTCATTTTTTATAGCTATAAAGTTCGAAATTCTCTTATAAATACAATAAATATATATAGAATTTCATAGTGTTGTAAATATTACACTTTCCTTTCAAGTATTCAAAAATTGTGAAATTGATAAAGTGTGGAAAGTGTCATTTAAATTTGTAATGTACGGTACACAAAATAAATCATCCATTATTCAATTGTGGATGTATTAAAATATTTTACACTTAAAAATATGAAATTACGGAAATACTCCATTCGTGTTTTGTGTGACATTTTGACAACTATAATATATCATATTCTGTTATTCAAGATTATAGAAATATATATGTACTGCACACTGCGTATGAATGATAACAGTAAATAGAACTGACGGCCGGATGATAGAGGCAGTTGAGATGCTAAACTTCTACTCTGGGAGTTCCGAAATCTGTTCTGAATATCCAGCCGCACCTATTGTGGACCTGTCCAAGCCCATGAATGGATAAGAGGTCTTGTTAGTGTCCACCAGGCACTAAGAGGACCTCTTATCCATATACCGACGAACTATCTAGAGAATCTCTCAGAGTGGTAGATTGACACCCGAACTACTCGGCTTCCCGGCCTTGTTGTTTCTATTATGAAACCATATTCAGGTCTATATAAGAACCACAAAGTCTACGAGTGAGATTATGACGTAAGAATATGTCAATGACAAATTAAATAGACGATAGATGAGCTTGGATCCATTTAGATAAAGTAATCGACTAATGGAATCACTAAAATCATTTTCGTTAAGAGGGCTTTTTCAACAAGCGCATTATGAATGCGGTCTAGCCCACAGTGAGACGGCCCGGTGGTGAGAGACGGGAATCAACATATAGACTACACCCCGAAAAGTTTCTGTGGTTTTTTTTTTTTTAAACTCGTCCACCAGAGGAGTGGGCTGCTACCATAACCACCCGGCCATCAGGCCAGAAAAATTTGATCCAATTAGAATTGACAGCGTATACAAACGTTTAAGGAAAAGATATATCAGAAAAATAACATGAATCTTGGTTATAAAATATTTAAAATTGTTTAAAATAAATTAATTTTATATATTTTTAAAATTTTAATTAAAAGTGATTAATTTAATTTTCTATAATTTCATTAGATATTACATTAATTTAAAAAAAAGCAGATGGCGCTGTTCAATTCGTCTCGATTCCACGTGGTTTCAGTATCTGTTATGTTTGCTCTGATATATTTTTATATTTGTTATTCTTACAGGTTTGTATAAGTTTTATGTTCTTTATATTTTTAAATATGATTCCAGGATTGAATTATTTAATTATTAAAATTACGTTTTACTTAGTGTTTCGAATAATAATTAATTGTTTATGAAATGATCGATTATTTTCTTATAGTGATAAGAAAAAATCTAAAAGATGCAGTATAAATTTTTCTCTTTAGTACAAGTGTACAGAAGTTAATACAGAAATAATAAATTGACGATGACATTTTCAAACTACAGTGGTACCTCGGTATACGTCTGCTTTAGAATACGTCCAATTCGGAATACGTCCTGTTTGGACGAAACAAATTTTGCTCGGTATACGACATAATTCAATTAGCGACAGAAAACTAAAAAAATGACTAGAATTACAATGGAACTGATAAAAGAGATTGTTGAGAAATACGAAGGTGGCACGTGTGTTCGAGATTTTAACTGTTGCCTACCGTATTCCGAGAACGACGATATGGACAATCGAGAAAAATAAAGACATTATTAAATCTGCTAACGTTGCGAAAGGGGTTAAATCAATGGTTAATGTCCAGGGTCGTAGACCATCATGGCGGCTCTTTCTGTTTTAGCCTCGAAACCGGACCGCTTTAGAGACGACGTGTCACGTGATGACGCGAGCGAACGGCGGCGGCTACTGCGCCGCGATAAACGGGGAAAACCGACGCGCGGGTTAACGTCCATATACGTAGACTCATGGCGGCTCATCTCTGATTCCGCAAAAAGAAAAGGAAACAGTGGGGACGCACGTTCTAACCTAACCTAACCTATTCTAATAATTTAATCGGTAATAATTGTGGTAATTTATTAGAATAGGTTAGGTTAGGTTAGAACGTGCGTCCCCACTGTTT